GCAGCGGATTTCGGCCATGTTGAAGTTGTCCGCTTGCTGGCAGAGGCAGGGGCCTACAAGTGACACTGCAGGTTGCAACACTAGTGTTCATCGCGGATGACCGTGGCCATGTCGATGTTCTGTGCGCAGCCGCTTCTGGTCTTTGCTGACGTCCAACACAGAATGCAGACGGTTGATTCTGCAAAGCTAGGTCTTGCAGGTTTCTTTGTAGCCAGAGACAAAGCCATAGATGGCGGAGGTATGTGGGGGTGTAATTGGCAGATCGTGTCACTTTGGCAAGACTCAAGTATCGGCGACACTGGACGGTTAAGACCAATACCAAGGTGTTGATTGTAATTGTTTCACGTTTTTTTCTTGCTCTATCTTCCCCTGTGTGGTGAGTCATGTCAAGACATGGTGCCACATGTGTCAACCAAGCAGGGTGGACAGTGCTGGCATCTCCTGGCTGGCTTGGTGAATCTTTCGATATATCCTCCAAGTGCAGACCTGATGGATATCGGTCCAAACCAGCCCCATCAGGAATTTTGGCACTTTGTGGAACCCGTCAGAGGCTCTTGGCAGGTGGTAGATGAACCCACTCCGATCGCGTCTTCTCTCAGTGTGAAGATCAACGAACAACTTTTGCCAGGACCCTCCAAAGTAGCTATTATATTCGGAACATGTTCAGATGACACAATGCCATCACAATCCATCACATATCCCTCTAAGAACTGGGCACCGGTGCTCACCAACCATCTCCAATACTCTCCAACTGGAAGGCTCCATGAGTCCAGGTCTTTCTCGAAAACCATCTGATCGAAGCCGACGCGTCCAGCCTCGTCACCGGCTTTCGGATGAGGACCTCATCGGCAGGGCGAACCGCTCGGCGGGACGCGTGCGTGGCTTGCGCTTCACCAACTGGGGCAACGGCGCTCAGCCGCCTGGCGATGGGCCGGTCGGGTCGGGTGGCGGTCACGCCACGGGTCGCCCAAAGGTGATATGTTGCGGATCCAGTCGTACCTTCTGAGAAGGTGGGACTAGGCTGGGTGCCAGGAGGGTTCAAATACTTTCTGAGGAGGTACGACTGGATCCCTAAAGGTGTGATATGTTGTGATCCATTCACCTCGCAACTTGAAACCGATGTGGCTACAGCCCAGCCTATGGGGACGCAGCACATGGCCCAGGGACGCTCTGAGAGCTTCTGCTCATGGCGTCGCACACGAACCAACCTCACACCAAGGCTGCCACGGACCTCAGCGAAGCCCCCCTTGCTGGGCACAGTTCTGGACACATGATGAGGTTGACAACATCATGTCTTTCTGTAGGTCAGGATGAGGTCGGTCCCGATTTGGGTGCGGCCAGTTAGCTTCGGCACCCCTCCGCGAATACAAACTATAGACTAATAGACGTTTGGGTCCGGTGCCGACCAGAGCGGAGACCGAGACCCGCCGGTGTCGGAGACCGTATGAAATGATCATGTGTCGCAGGTGAGGGCCCGAAGATGTTTGCCACTGGTAATTATAGCTTGGGTTTGTTTTATATAATCGCCAGAAACAGTTGGTAGACCAATATCACTATTTTAGAGAAAGGCCCCATCATCCACTGGGCCCAGGGAATGGGATACACCCCAAATACTGTATAGCAGTTTACCGGGACCATCCAATGGGTGCTCAATGGAGATCCCAAGTGGTGTAGGGTCGTGGTTTTGGACACCCAGACAGGATGGTCCTGGTATCTATAGTCACTATAGTCGATCTGGCATTGTTCCAGATCTTGGACCGGACAAAGGTGGGAGAACACCGCTTCAGCCATGATGGCGATGTCCATGTTCCAGCAAAAGCGTGGAGGCCAAGGAAGGTTGGAGCAGGTAGGCGGGTGGGGTAGAAAAGTCGAAGAAGGTTTACGATCGGAAGGGCCAAAAGGGCTTGAATGTTTCTTTTGGTGTGTTTCTTTGGTATTGTTTGATATGCAACAGCCCTGCTTCGGAGTGACATGGGCCACTAAAAACCGCATGCTGACCCTAAGCTGTGGCTATTTTCAAGAGCCCAGAGTAGAGACCTTTGGAACGGGGCTTGCAATTCACCTAGCAGATCTAAAGCTTTTGACTTGATGCCAACCAGGCGTATGAGCCTTTTGAACATGGTCTAACAGGGTGACTGTTCCTGATTTAGTCAGCCTCAGCAGATAAAAGATGGAACATGTCAAAGCGAAGAATCATCTCAGTGTTTGTTTCTACACTCCTGAAATCGTCATGGAAGTGGATGGCACGGTCACTTTTTCTTGACCATTTTCCTCTACAAACCTTCCATGATTCTTTGAGGGAGTGTCTAAATTCATGAGAAGGAAGATGCTAGATAGATTGATCTTGCTGTAGTTTATACCCCGAACCCTTAAAAAAATCGGCCCAACATGGCCCAACTAATCTGAAATCATCCAATCCAATCCCTTTAGAATAGCAACATCCTCCTAAAGGACGCTCAATCATGTCATTTCTGGACCCTGGGTTTAGTTCACCAAGCCCTCCGTAGATGCACCTGGAGAGCAAATGAAATGATTCACCCAAGAATCTCTACATTGTTTAGAATTTGTTGATTCTGCCGGGCATCACCAGGTATGGCGTGGATGCGCTACAGGGCGTTGAGTTGGAGGATGAGATCAAAGGCATCCGCCGGTCCATGCTGAGGATTCTCGACACGTGACCTGTCCGTAGTGTCCGTGTCGAGCCCTGGTGGTCCCTTGCCGTGGCTGCCGGGGGACTCTGAGTGGCTCACCGAGCGGTACATTGATATGGGTCTATACTCACTCACTCAATCCCCTTTGCAGTGTTTTTTGTTCACGTCATAATCACCTTCTTGTGAGGGTGAACATGGGTGAACCACTATCTTGCACCGCAATGATGTTTTTTTTTCCGCACTTGATATAACATTATCTATAGGGGGTATTTATATGTAATGATGCTTCAGTCTGTTCAGGCTTGAGGACCCAGATCCAGGCTGTCCACCAGACAGTGGCCAGTGGATCCGTGAGATCCATGACCATGGACCGATGAGAAACGAAGGTTCACAGACTCTGTTGGGCTATGAACTCCCTGGTGAACCACAGATGAAACGAATCATTTAGATATAGAGAACGTAGTCAGTTGATGTCAGTTTACCTTATTCCATCGTATTCTATAATATAAAATATAGTGTATCTCAATCTATTCATAGCTTCTTCATCGTGAGGTTCTGTTCGCATGTAATTTGTATGAACGGACTGTGGTTTTCAGGAACAGTTCCCCACACAAATGTCATTCAAGTAGGGTCTTGAACGGTATGTTCAGAGGTTCCCCCCACCCAGAAACTCCATGTATGGAATAGTGGCCGATCAGTTGGGGTAGTGAACGCGGGGTCAATAGGGCGGCATATGTTGCAGTCCCATGGAGTGTTTGGGCAAGAAACATGCAAAAACCGGGAGAGATGCAGAGAGCATTGGTGGGAGTGTTGGGAGCATTTTGCTTCCGAGGTTTGTTGGTCAGCGGCTCAGTGTGTTTTTCAGGTTCCAACACGGTCAGACCGTTTGCGGCCTTCGGAGGTGACCGGTCAAAGAGGTTAAGAAAACCCTCCAAGTCTTTACGAAAACATGCAGCTTGCAGCTAATCGGTAGATCGAGAAAAGAGCAAGCTGATGGATGTTGTTTTGACAGGTACGGCTCGATTCCAGCTTCTATCTTGGGTGGCAACAAGCAGGCAGATGCGGGAGCAAGCATTTTGCTGCAACAGCGACCTTGAAAAGAATATGATACTGGGGGGGATGCTGGGATTTTATTGTGTGTTTTTTTGTTTCTTGGAAATCACCTGTGTGCGGGCCAGAGGCTTCTCCGATTATCCAGGATAAACTCTTCTGAGTCAATTCAGGTTTGTTGATCAACATGCAGAAACAATGGCCAGTGACCCAATACGACTGATGAGTGTCGGACCAACACCCAAGGTTTTGGTCTTTAGCTTACAGGCCAGATGGGATCATATAGCTGAGCATTTGATCAGAACATTCCAATAAGAGCAATTACTGCACAATCGCCACTAGCGACAGTCGGAACAGACTTGGCACAAATCACATGAATCACATGAGTTCAAGATAGAAGTAAGGACAGAATATGATAGATGAGCAAAGATGGAAGAGGAGCCATAAATCTACACGGGAACCAAAACAGTCCAGCAGTCACAAAGGGGTGCTATCCATGGAGGTAGTCGGGGTGCCCAATATCCACTCACTGGAAGGGACTCAAAACCATCCCGTCTTGTGACACCTGGGTCTTGCTTCTCCAATCTTTTGACCAGATGAACTTGGGCGAAGCGAACGGTGAATTCGTTTTGTTGGTGAATTCGGCATCCGACCGGTCGGATCGACGGCCGCTTTTCACACGGCGACAGTCGGGTCGGATGCTATAGCCGCCCGTGGAAAACTCACATGGACCCTTAAAACCATCTGAAAACCGCTATAGTTTGTAGAGGAAACCAGTTCAAGTGTCACCACTGACCAATGGCTTGCATTGCAAAACGCACGGTCTTCTTCGTGGGGGGCTTGCATCATCGCCTGTCGTGTTTGGGGTCATCGGTTTTCTTGAATTCAATGGCCTGTCGTGCTGATGACCCTGTGAACCCTCGACGATCCAGGGGTGAACGGGCTGACTGAATTGGCAGATGTCGATTCGCCGGAAGATTCAGCCAAGCTTTAGGCCCAACAAATCCCAGACACTCCATGTATGGTATATTTACCATTATTTACCTACATTGGGGTGGTTTGAGGGGTCAATGTAGGCATATATGGCAGTCCCATGGAGTGTCTGGGAATGTTCTCTCTCATCACCTCGTGCTGCCGCAGCATCGGTGATGATGCCAACTTCTTTTTTAGATGAGCTTTTGCTTTCCGACAACGTGGTTCAGTTTTTAGCTACTATGACTATATGACTATGACTGGTGACAGGCTTTTTCCAAAATATCCTAAAACAGCTGGCACCAGTCTTCTCCATTTGGGTTTCGAACGAAAGTGTGTTGGCCGAGTCTCCCGGCACCCAATATTTCCACGACAGACAGAAGTCGTCGAACTATTGCAATAATATGCATCACTCCCAAATCAGACACAACCACCGACTGTCTTCCATATAAAATTACCCAGTTCTATCCGGAAGGAACACATCTCTCAATCCTTGAATGGGATTTGCCAAAGAGACGACGCTTTCAGAACATCGTTCGTTTGCACTTGTCTCGTAAACGACCACCGGATTTGCTTTTGCCACAGTGTGAGTGGCCCCACCCGTGAATTCATCTTAGACAATTCGATCTCGTGTTTTTGTTTAACTCTTCTTCCTTTCACTTTGTCATGTAGTCACTCTTACATCCATACCCGGTTTGACACAAGGGGTGGGTGTAAACGGATCGTCGCCCGTGCGTGTTGTGTAGAGGAAAACAGTCTTTCAATGTCTTTCAGGGTCCCATTCTCAGGGTCCATGTTAGTTTACGGGAGTGTATATATAGTATACGTATATACTCTCCTGCTTTCGAGCCACTGATTCGACGGGCAGATTCCGTCAGGCCTGGAAGAAGAACGAGCACGCCAGGGAATTCCCGGGCGGATCAGATACAGGCCCGCGCACAGGGTTCTTGCAACGTCCGACGTTTCTCGCAAGATGTTGGTAGTTTATGAAATGTATGAAACTTGACCGCTTGGCAAAGGTTGTTTATGTTGTACAAGCTTTGATGCTTCATAAACTGTGCCTCAAGAATCTACAATCTGCTTGATTGCAGTTGATTGGTAGACAGTGTTTGGTGTTTCTTCCCCAATGGCGTTGTTGATGCTGGTGTGGCTGTCTACGCGTGTCTACGCAGTGTGTGAAGTCGTACCGTTGCATGAATGCTTGCGGAACGCCTCCAGATCCGACGACTCGGACTCGTCGGTGATGCAACTGCATCGCCCGGTGCGTCGGTGGCTGAAGGATCCAGACACATCGGCAGAGGACTTGGCCTCGAATGTGACAGAGCTGAAGCAGCAGTTGCAGATCCTACGGTCTATGCGGTCGTTCACGCTGACGGACGTGGGTAGCAGAGTGAACAAAGTCAATGATGTGGAGGAAGTCAAAGAGAGGATTTCCTCTCTCCTGCCCTCATTGATCCGAACCATCTCTCCACTCACGGCAGCAAAGCTGGGCATTGCGATCAGGTCCGATGATCTTGAGGTGCTTGGAGGACAAGAGCTGGATTTTTCTCTCAGACGAAGAGTCAAAAAGCCAAAGAGAAAACCAGTGGCGAAGGGCTTGCCATGGACAAAGGGACTTGTGCCTTTTTGCTTCGATTCCAACGTCCCGAGCAACTGGAAAATTTTGGTTGTGGAGGCGATGCATGAGTGGCAAAAGGCTGTTGCCTGCCTGGATTTCCAACAAGTGGATGCCGATGATGTCAGGGGTGGCTGCCAAGTCGGTCACTTTGGTTACCGAGGCATTCGAATCTTAATGTCCAATGGAAATTTCGGCTTTATTGGCCAGCCCAAGTCCTCTTTCAAGCAACCTGAGTTGCATATCTTCGAGAATGCGAGCATTTTACTGTATCTTGGGATTGTCATTCATGAACTTGGCCACAGTCTTGGAGTGTCACATGAGCATCAACGGAAAGATCGCGACGACTATGTGAAGGTCTTTACAAAGCGCATCAGGGAAGACGAGTTGCGCTTCTACGAGATCAATGAAGAGGTTGGCAGGACCTTCCCCTACGACATTCTTTCAATCATGCACTACGCCAGCACTCATCCTACTGCGTCCTTGAAGAAAGGGGCCGAGCTCATCAGAGCTAAGGACGAGGCATGGGTATCAAAAAGTATATTATTGGAATTCAGAAACACATGATGATTATCCGCATCAAAAACATTTTTTGTACCAGGATCAAACACCAAAAGGAAGGAAGGACGGAAGGAAGGCGCTTGTGCTTTTGCTGCTATTTTGCCTTCGCTGCTTGCTTGCGTTTGTGCATTATTTTGTGGCTGTTTGTGTTTGCCTTGGTTTTGGCCGTCTATTTTAACTTCGGCTCGTTATTTTTGGTTGCTTTGGTTGCTTTGCTGCGTTTCTGCTATTCTTGTTTCTGTTGATTTTTCATGTGTTTTTTCTATTTCTGGCTGTTTGGTCTACAGTGCCAGTGCCGCACTTGTTGCACTACTGCCCAAGTTGCACACACTCGTGTTTGTGGCTGCGGCCAGAAACATAAGGCTTGGATCACACACCCAAACCCACACACGATCCATACCTTGATCCGTGGGGTATGGATCAAAAGGTGGGTGTGTGATCCAAGCCCTTGGATCACAGGTTTGTTTTTTCCTAGAGGTTGTCCATGGAGAGCAAGCTTTTTCTTTCTTTCTTTCTATTTGCGCACGGTGTCCGAAGACTCAGCGCCTTGCCGAGTTGAATTCTGAATTAGCAGCGGGTGGAAGTCGGGGCCTTCTACTGTATGTTCATCGACTTCCGCAAGATGCATGGCTTTAAGCCATGTAGCATCATGCGTGGGTGGCCCCGACATCTGAGTGGCCCTGCTCAACCAACGATCGAACAATCTAGCAAGGAAAGAGCAAAAATCTCTAGGATACTCTTTCAATGAGTTAGTGGCCCAGCCTTTTTCACAGAGTCCGATCGAAGTAGACTTAGGGCAACTCGTGGTTCTACTAGCTTGTTCTACCTCCAATATTGTATCAGATGGTAGCCCTGCTATCAGTAGGTTTGTCGGTTTGGCACTTTTGGCCCCGTAATGTCCCTGGAACACTCTCAGATCCTGGAAAAGTCCCGCTTGCCTTAACCAGCTCATCAGTGCCGTCCTCCAGACGCTTGGGGCCTCACGGTGAGTGGTTCGAAGTTCCAGTGGGTCCTGCGGATGTTCCAGTACCGCAAATCCTCCACTGATTGCTACTTCTAACATCACCAGGACAGAGAATCCCATGAGTTCATTGCCAACATCCACTTGTTGTCCTTCACGGAAGCTGATGTCAACCAACCCCCATGGGTACCGACGAGTTCTCAGTGGTCTTGGTGGCCTACGGTGTCCTGAGACCGCCTGAAAGCGGGCTATGGACCACGTTTCGCATGGCGGACCTGCGAAGGCCGCTGCAATTGCACCAGCACGGATCACTCGAAGTATGTCCTCCTGTTGGCTGAGATTGGTGAGGTCACCATGCTTGGTGGAGACCATCACATCGAGCGAAATAACGAACAGCACTGCACTTGTTGGGATGGCTAACTCCTCAAGTGCTTCTTGAAGGTCACCAGTTCTTCTGCGTCCACTAAACAAATGCAGGATGTATACCTCTTGAAACACACGGCTGGGATGGGCTTCAACAGGTTCAATCGCAATTTGCTCTCTCTCAGCTTCATCGGTTGGCAGGTCAAGAGAGACTCCCGATTGCTCCTTAGTGAGACGGAAACTTTGCAATCGTCTGACAACTTCCTGACAAGCCCATTGAATATTATTCTGTTGTGGTTGTTCAAACTCTGTTGCCATCTCTTGGAGAACGGCTAAAATGTCTTGAATTGGCTCTTCCAAGGTATGATTCAAATCAGTTCGAAGATTCATTTTGTCCCTCTGAATCAGCTCAACAGCTGCGGCTGCCTGTTCTCCTGTTCGCAACCACGGAAGTTGTGGGTGACGCTGCTGCTGACAGCCTTCTTCATGGGGGAAAGCTGCTCGATTCTTCCAGAAATATGTGCAGCATGACTGACTGTACCGTAAATGGTGCTTGAGGGACAGGGTGGGAGGGTACTGTTTGGCACAGCACCAACATGTTGTCCCTGTGACAGCCTCACCTTCCATAGTCCGATAGTCGTGCACAACACTGGCATGGAGGAACCAGGCATTTTTCTTATCGAATCCCTTCTGACGTAGGAGGCAGTAATGCTTCCAGCTCGCCTGCAGCTGAAAACGAGACTTGGAGTGCGAAAGCGCAAGAACGCTGAGAATTCTTCTGTGCATCTCTGCTACCTTGTACTCACGAAGTCGAGAGAGGCGCCATCTCTCAGAGGCTCTCTTCACCATGGCTTTCCAGCTGGGCCCTTGCACAGTAAAGAACTGTCGGCATGCTTGGAGGGCCGTAAGGCCATCAAACCCTTTTTCCCGTCTCAAGGCTTCGTGAACCCAGTGAATCGCTTCACGGTAGACTTGGGCTGTACCCTCGTCAAGGTGCACGACAGACCATACAGGGTCAGGCGCATGCTCCATCATGGTGATGTAATGTCGGGCTCGGGCAGCTTGCAAGGCATCACCTGGTTCGGAACAACTTAGTTGTCGACAAACGTCTCCCTTCGATGTATTCTTCTGATGTTTTTT